GTGCTGGCCCACAGCAAGGCGATTAAGAGCATCGACGGAAAAGGTGTGACGACCCTGGCGGACTACACGGCCACCAACGCCGCCATTGGCCACATGATTGCGTCCGTCCCGGCCTCCAAGACCATGGATGTGTACAACGCCTTCAACAAGTTCAGCCTGGGCAAGGATGTGGGCCCTTACATGATGTCCAAGGTGAGCGCTGAGGACGCCAAGGCGGCCTACAAGGCATTCCTGGAGTTCAAAGATGTGGTGAAGGCTTCTCAGCGCTGAGCTCGGCCTTGATTAGCATCCTGTGTGTCAGGCAGTGGCTTGCGCTCTGCAGTTTGTATAGCTTCTTGGTAATTCTTTTGTTCTTTGGGGCCGTTTGGTAGCTTGAGACTCTGTTCTCAGGCATCCTGACTGGCATCAGAGAAGTCTACATTTTATCAACACGTATTACCAGCTTGTATTTGAAGTGTTCCCTTGTTCTCTTGTGCAAAAGAGGCTGGGACAGCTTGGGTGTTGCGTCATTCACGTCCACACGGATGTAATTCAATAGAGAATCTGACATCCACAAACTAAGGGCATGCTTCTTTTAAATGAGGGCAAGCCTATTCAGGCTGCAGTTTGTGCAAAAGCAATCGCTTGGTAGCAAGCGTGGACTGTGTTCCCGCCTGCCTGATAATATTTGCGATGTGTGTTAGTCAGTCTTGTCTGGACGTCGGCTTTTCAGCAGGGTAGCCTCGTGAGCAACATCGCACATCCTCATCGTTTCTGCAATGGCGAAGGCAAGCAAGATGCTCGCGGTCGTGGCGGGTGTGGCTGCCTACTGTGGCTGGCAGGGCGCTTTCGTGCCGCCCCCTGCGGGCCGGCATGTGCCGATCGCCACTGCGGCCGGCGCCGCGGCCATGCTGGGCACAGCGCCGGCTTATGCGGACAAGATCGATGATGCGGCCAAAGTTCTGTCGGAGAAATCATATCCATTCTTGAAGGATCTCTGAGCATGATCGCCGGGTATGGTCATGGCTTGCAAAACACATTTCCCAAAAGAGATTGCGAACCGGTGGTAGCCCAACTCTCGACTATTAGCGAGATGTGAATTGACAGTTCTAGATGTGAAGTCTATTTGTGTGGTTTTGTGAGGTTTGCCAACTATTGTTAACACTTCACCTTAGCTCTTCTTTCTGAAAGCTGATTGTGCTATTCTTGCTATTACTGATGGACTTGGCACTGATTCCTTTGGCCAAAAGCGTTTTGCGTTTGATTTGATGGTTGAGCGAAGCAAGTCCAGGAGATTGACTGGACTGACGGCGTCTACGGCGTGCTGCCCACTGCCAAGCCGCTGGAGGTGCTGAAGGCGATCGACAAGATGTTGGTCATGGGCGCTGCTATGGACCCGGAGGCTCTGAAGGCGGGCGTGCTGGCCCACAGCAAGGCGATTAAGAGCATCGACGGAAAAGGTGTGACGACCCTGGCGGACTACACGGCCACCAACGCCGCCATTGGCCACATGATTGCGTCCGTCCCGGCCTCCAAGACCATGGATGTGTACAACGCCTTCAACAAGTTCAGCCTGGGCAAGGATGTGGGCCCTTACATGATGTCCAAGGTGAGCGCTGAGGACGCCAAGGCGGCCTACAAGGCATTCCTGGAGTTCAAAGATGTGGTGAAGGCTTCTCAGCGCTGAGCTCGGCCTTGATTAGCATCCTGTGTGTCAGGCAGTGGCTTGCGCTCTGCAGTTTGTATAGCTTCTTGGTAATTCTTTTGTTCTTTGGGGCCGTTTGGTAGCTTGAGACTCTGTTCTCAGGCATCCTGACTGGCATCAGAGAAATCTACATTTTATCAACACGTATTGCCAGCTTGTATTTGAAGTGTTCCCTTGTTCTCTTGTGCAAAAGAGGCTGGGACAGCTTGGGTGTTGCGTCATTCACGTCCACACGGATGTAATTCAATAGAGAATCTGACATCCACAAACTAAGGGCATGCTTCTTTTAAATGAGGGCAAGCCTATTCAGGCTGCAGTTTGTGCAAAAGCAATCGCTTGGTAGCAAGCGTGGACTGTGTTCCCGCCTGCCTGATAATATTTGCAATGTGTGTTAGTCAGTCTTGTCTGGACGTCGGCTTTTCAGCAGGGTAGCCTCGTGAGCAACATCGCACATCCTCATCGTTTCTGCAATGGCGAAGGCAAGCAAGATGCTCGCGGTCGTGGCGGGTGTGGCTGCCTACTGTGGCTGGCAGGGCGCTTTCGTGCCGCCCCCTGCGGGCCGGCATGTGCCGATCGCCACTGCGGCCGGCGCCGCGGCCATGCTGGGCACAGCGCCGGCTTATGCGGACAAGATCGATGATGCGGCCAAAGTTCTGTCGGAGAAATCATATCCATTCTTGAAGGATCTCTGAGCATGATCGCCGGGTATGGTCATGGCTTGCAACACACACTTTCCCAAAAGAGATTGCAAGCCGGTGGTGGCCAAACTCTCGACTATTAGCGAGATGTGAATTGACAGTTCTAGATGTGAAGTCTATTTGTGTGGTATTGTGAGGTTTGCCAACTATTGTTAACACTTTTAGTTAGTGTTTTTTTTTTTTTTCTCTGAAAGCTGATTGTGCTATTCTTGCTATTACTGATGGACTTGGCACTGATTCCTTTGGCCAAAAGCGTTTTGCGTTTGATTTGATGGTTGAGCGAAGCAAGTCCAGGAGATTGACTGGACCGACGGCGTCTACGGCGTGCTGCCCACTGCCAAGCCGCTGGAGGTGCTGAAGGCGATCGACAAGATGTTGGTCATGGGCGCTGCTATGGACCCGGAGGCTCTGAAGGCGGGCGTGCTGGCCCACAGCAAGGCGATTAAGAGCATCGACGGAAAAGGTGTGACGACCCTGGCGGACTACACGGCCACCAACGCCGCCATTGGCCACATGATTGCGTCCGTCCCGGCCTCCAAGACCATGGATGTGTACAACGCCTTCAACAAGTTCAGCCTGGGCAAGGATGTGGGCCCTTACATGATGTCCAAGGTGAGCGCTGAGGACGCCAAGGCGGCCTACAAGGCATTCCTGGAGTTCAAAGATGTGGTGAAGGCTTCTCAGCGCTGAGCTCGGCCTTGATTAGCATCCTGTGTGTCAGGCAGTGGCTTGCGCTCTGCAGTTTGTATAGCTTCTTGGTAATTCTTTTGTTCTTTGGGGCCGTTTGGTAGCTTGAGACTCTGTTCTCAGGCATCCTGACTGGCATCAGAGAAATCTACATTTTATCAACACGTATTGCCAGCTTGTATTTGAAGTGTTCCCTTGTTCTCTTGTGCAAAAGAGGCTGGGACAGCTTGGGTGTTGCGTCATTCACGTCCACACGGATGTAATTCAATAGAGAATCTGACATCCACAAACTAAGGGCATGCTTCTTTTAAATGAGGGCAAGCCTATTCAGGCTGCAGTTTGTGCAAAAGCAATCGCTTGGTAGCAAGCGTGGACTGTGTTCCCGCCTGCCTGACAATATTTGCAATGTGTGTTAGTCAGTCTTGTCTGGACGTCGGCTTTTCAGCAGGGTAGCCTCGTGAGCAACATCGCACATCCTCATCGTTTCTGCAATGGCGAAGGCAAGCAAGATGCTCGTGGTCGTGGCGGGTGTGGCTGCCTACTGTGGCTGGCAGGGCGCTTTCGTGCCGCCCCCTGCGGGCCGGCATGTGCCGATCGCCACTGCGGCCGGCGCCGCGGCCATGCTGGGCACAGCGCCGGCTTATGCGGACAAGATCGATGATGCGGCCAAAGTTCTGTCGGAGAAATCATATCCATTCTTGAAGGATCTCTGAGCATGATCGCCGGGTATGGTCATGGCTTGCAAAACACATTTTCCCAAAAGAGATTGCAAGCCGGTGGTGGCCAAACTCTCGACTATTAGCGAGATGTGAATTGACAGTTCTAGATGTGAAGTCTATTTGTGTGGTATTGTGAGGTTTGCCAACTATTGTTAACACTTTTAGTTAGTTTTTTTTCTGAAAGCTGATTGTGCTATTCTTGCTATTACTGATGGACTTGGCACTGATTCCTTTGGCCAAAAGCGTTTTGCGTTTGATTTGATGGTTGAGCGAAGCAAGTCCAGGAGATTGACTGGACCGACGGCGTCTACGGCGTGCTGCCCACTGCCAAGCCGCTGGAGGTGCTGAAGGCGATCGACAAGATGTTGGTCATGGGCGCTGCTATGGACCCGGAGGCTCTGAAGGCGGGCGTGCTGGCCCACAGCAAGGCGATTAAGAGCATCGACGGAAAAGGTGTGACGACCCTGGCGGACTACACGGCCACCAACGCCGCCATTGGCCACATGATTGCGTCCGTCCCGGCCTCCAAGACCATGGATGTGTACAACGCCTTCAACAAGTTCAGCCTGGGCAAGGATGTGGGCCCTTACATGATGTCCAAGGTGAGCGCTGAGGACGCCAAGGCGGCCTACAAGGCATTCCTGGAGTTCAAAGATGTGGTGAAGGCTTCTCAGCGCTGAGCTCGGCCTTGATTAGCATCCTGTGTGTCAGGCAGTGGCTTGCGCTCTGCAGTTTGTACAGCTTTGGGGCCGTTTGGTAGCTTGAGACTCTGTTCTCAGGCATCCTGACTGGCATCAGAGAAGTCTACAATTTATCAACACACATGGCAAATTGCACCTGTATCTACTGGCTCCCGTGTGTGAAAAGTTCATTGCAGGTGTGTGCATTGTGCCATGGGGTTCTGGGCAGCGCTCATAGGCATGCGGGCTCGCTTGCGCTGAGGTCTCGGCATACTCCAAGCACGCGGAGAGTCATGTGCTTGCTCTATTTGTGAAACTACTTGATTGGCGACTCTCAGCCTGCTTCGCCGCTGAGGTCACTATCCTCTGCATGTTGACACCCATGTTCATTTGGGCAGAGGCAGCGGGTTGAAGTGAACAAGCAAATGGGTGACAGAAGTCTCAGCTTGTGCTGTCAAACACTAGTATGCATGCACGCACCCTGTATTTCCCCCTCATCTCGCTAGCGAGGCAATTCAATGCAACCTGGAGAATGATTGCCTTCCGGGCCTTCTTGAACCTTAGCATGCTGCAGGTGCGCAGGGGGGGACGTTGACTTGGCAGTTTTCCGTGTTTGAGCTCTGAGGAGACTGCGCAATTCTGAGGTTCTTGTCAGCGCTGACCCTCTACCACAAGTTGATGCTTTGTCCAAGAATGGCCTCCTGACTGGAATCAGATCAGGGTGCGGCAGTGTTGGCAGAGGGCTGACAATGCAGAAGCTGCCGGAGTGCTTTGAAGTGCGTGACGGCGTGGTCATCTCCCCCACGGACTCTGAGGCTCGAGTGGGCAGCCCTACGAGCCGCGGGCGACGCAAGGGGCGCTCGACCGGCGGTGGGGCACCGCCATGGTCGGCGCCGGACATGTCAAGCTCCGAAAGCGTTGCTGGGCCTTCACTTTATGCGTCGCAGCGGGCGCCCGCGGCCATGTGATGCCCGAGCGTGTGCGGCTCGGTGAAAGCTGGCCCCAGCGCCTGAGGGATCCGGCGGAGGCAGAGATGGTGGAAGCGCAGAGCAGAGGTGGGCGCTCCAGTCAGCCGTGCTCCTGACCACCCCAGAGGCGGGAGCGGGGAAGAAGCTCGCCGAGTTGTGGAAAGAGGGCGGGCGACCTCAAGTTTGTGCGCAACATGGCCGTGAGCGTGCAAGAAATCAGAGGCATTGAAAGGTGTGCCCTCAAGGTTATTTCCAAATCCAATTCTTGAAGTTGGGGGGGAGTGTCCTTTGAGCTCCTTCTTGGGGAGGTACGTGTCACTGGTTTTGGAATACAAGGTCAGGGTTTGAGAGCAATCTAGTGACCAGGCGCTGGTGGATATTGACAAGGAGCATGCCATCAATGGCATTTGCACGCCTCAAGCACCACCCTGCCAGTCCAGTCCCCTCTGGGCAAGGTGCAGGCCCTGCTCTTGGCTGAGGCTTGCACAACCTCTTTGCAGCCCGGCAGCTCGCTGCTGCAAAAGACGCTCGCTAGATTGGTAGCTTTATGTGCCATGGTCAAAAGAACCCTTTACTTGGGGTTAATAGGGATGGTCATCCACCTGGCCAGCCACCTCGTCAACGACACTTGGCGGGGATGTACTTGCTTTTCGTGCTTTTAACCAACCACTACCTTGTAGTTGTTAATTTTCGCCTTGCATCTCCTGCGTCTTTGGTCCTGGATTTGTGTGCTTGTTGTATGTTTTCTCGTAAACCAGGGAGAGCGCCAGCCAGACATCTTGAGGTTGGAAAGGAAATATAAGATTAAGGAAAATCGAGTTTTGATGTCTTGAGCGTGGCAACAGAAACCCGGCCTGCTCACTTAGTATTCTTTCTTGATGAGTTGAACTTCGATCAAGGTCGCTGATAGCTAGAACAAGATTCAGGAGTTCTAACTTGTCTTGCTACGTTGCCCGCCTTCCAGCTTCAGACTCCTTCTCACCAGCCCAGGAGTAGTTTGTGAAGAGCAAGAAGGTGGCTGAGGGAAGGTGGCTCAAGTCTTTGGGCAGATGGCGGCCATGCTGCGTCTGTAAGGCAACTGTGGGCTCAAGCGCATCGAAGCGTGCCAGTGCCGCGTTGATTCTCACCCTCTGGCGCTCTGCTCTGTTCGCGGCGACGGAAAGCGCTACAGGGGGTCTTTTCATACACGCCCTTGGTGCAATCTACTGTATAGATTGATGGTTCCCTTCATCGGATTCCAGAGGATTCCGCAGTCAGTGCGGAGCAAAAGACATGCGGCAGGGTCATTGCATTTGCACAAGTCTCTAGCCCTGCCTTAGGACTGCCTTTGCTCTGGTTTGCATGACTTTGGCGCTGTGCTTAGATCAAGTTCTTTAAGCAACATGGAATTGCAAGCATTTGGATTTGACATAGCAAGCATGCCACCTGACCTGAGTACCATGTTTGGGATTCTTTCTACCATGCTCCGACTTTGACCGTTGAGGCAGCCAGTGCGGTGTGTGTTGTCAGCATGAGTGGTCCATGCGCCTTAACAGAAAGCCGTAAAGGTTTCTCTGACGCTGACGGCGACATCATTCTGCAGCTTAGGCATAGAGCTTGGGCGCTTAGCCGCTTGGCAGATGCTATGGCGAGCCATCGCTTGCCTGTAGTCATCGTGCCGGGCTTTTGCTCCACTCGCCTGGAGGCAAGACTTGTGACATGCAGCCGCTGAGGTCTTGGATTTCCTGCTTAAACTGCAGTCTTTAGGTCAGTGTTCATGAGAACCGCGGCAGGCCTGGAGTTAGGAAGATATCCTTTTGCTTGGCCGACGCATGAAACAGGCCCCTTTGGACGTGTAGAGGCCGGAGGTGGTTTTGCTGAAGTATGCATCAAATACTCGCGAACCCTTGGAGAGTGAAGAGGCCTCAAGGCCCTCCCATGGCTCTATGTGGAGGTCACTGAAAAAGAAACCCTGCCAGGTGGCCCACAGCGATGTGTGTCCGTCGTGGAAGGGCAGGAAAGTATGGCTGGGGCTCAGCAGCATCGGCTTCTCCGCCATGCCGCTTGCGCGTTTCAAGGGTTCGAGAGTCTGGGTCGCCGGCTCGCTCGCTTTTTTGGTCCTTCGGCCCTTTGGACCCCCTTCCCGGTTTCCCCCGGTGCTCTTCAGACTGACAGAGGCACGGCAAGGGCACCTTCGACAACGAGGAGGCGCTGTCGCTGAAGAACAAGTGGCTGCGGCACCTGGTGCTGGCGGACCCGGAGAGCGAGAGCTCCGGGGTGCGGCTGAGGCCCGTGGAAGGCCTGGAAGGGGTGAAGTACCTGGACCCCGACAGCTTCATGGGCCTGGCGGCGGAGGCCAGCCACCTGGTTTAACCAAAGAAGAAGGCCTAAAGGTCAAGAGCAACGGTTGGTTCCATGTTGCTGGGCTTGCGCATCGTGTCTTTTGAAAAGCCCGCTCTCTTTTTTTCTCTTTCTCCCTCTCCCTTGGGCTCGCTGTTGTCGATTCGTTGTCGGTTTGTCTGTCGGTTTGTCAGTGTTTCTGTCGATCCGTCCCTTGTTTGCCTGTTTGTTTGTCAGGTCTGTCCGTTTGTCTGTCGTCCATCGGTCGGTCGGTCGGTCTGTCCATCTGTGATGTCTGCATCTGTGTCTGTTGTTTGTGCGTGCTGGCGTGCGTGCTTGCGAGCGTGCGTCCGTGCGTGGGTGTGTGGGTGTGTGGGTGTGTGGGTGTGTGGGTGTGTGGGTGTGTGGGTGTGTGTATGTCTGCATCTGTCCTTGTCTCTGTCTCTGTCTCGGTCTGCCTGCCTGCCTGCCTCCTGCCCTGCCTGGCCCAAGGTTATGTCTTCGCGCCGGTGATCAAAGCTTTGGCAGATGTTGGATATGTGGAGGGTGTCGACCTCATAGCAGCCACGTTCGACTGGCGCTTTGCTCCATCAGTGCTCGAAAAGCGTGATGGCTACTTTTCAAGTCTTATTGACAGCATCGAGACCTTGAATGAGTCGAATGGACCGAACCGGCAAAGGGGAGTGGTTCTGTTGGCCCACTCCATGGGCAACAAGGCGCCGAATCCGAGCTTTGTAGATTCCCATCTTATATTATCTTATATTAAGTCCTGGTCAAGATGGTCATTTCAGAACCTTTCGAGGTGGTGTCCTACTTCTTGGAGTTCGCCAAGCAGCGCAGGGGCCAAGCCTGGCTCGACCGTCACGTTCACACCTGGATCGCGGCCGGGGCCCCACACCTAGGTGCGGCGCAGGCGCTGCGCTCCACCATCTTCGGGGACAAGTTCGGTTTAGACGCCTTCGTCACCAACTCCGAGGCGCGAAAATCGGAGAGAATCGTCGAGACTCGGAGACGTCTGCTGCGGAACGCACCGCGGTTTGTTGCGAAATGCGAATTCGGAGGGCTAAGATTGGAGAAAGCTGCTTTTGTCCGCCTTGGGCAAGTTTCCAGCTCATGGATAGTTGTAGGCAGCCTGAATTTGACTACTAAACAAGCTGTGCTACGACGTTGAAATTGAGTTCGATTCAACCCTGTGCATTCTGTTGGGACCCGAGCCCTACTGTGGGCCACTCTCCCCTGGCAAGGCCATTGCTTTTGGGCGCTCGCTGAGTGCTTGCCCATGGCTGTTTCCCATAGGCCTGCATGGGAGGGCAGCTGATTGTTCATTCATGTTGATCACTGGTCAGTTAGTTTGGAAAGCGCATCGCAGCATGCGTAACGCAGCAGCCGGAGACAGGTGCGTAGGTGCATATTATGGCCATGGGTCAAAATCCCTTACCCCCACTGAACATCCCAATTCCCCACTAAAATAGACTAGAATGGGTGGTGCACCTACCCCAAAATGGGATCCGATTCATTTTGACCCACAGCCATATCAAGCTTCATCATCGCTTCGATGTCCCTCCAGGCAGCCAAGCCGAGAGCTGCTGCTTTCAGCTGCGTAGAGGTGCGGCAGTTGAGAAAGCGGCTGCCTGGGGTGGGTCGGCTTTTCACGCGAGGAAGTTTCTGGGTGGGTTTCTGCTGGACAGGATCAACTCCCGAATCATGCCATTTGCAAAGTGGGGGGACTTGGATATGTTTGTATTTTGGGTCCCACGCCGGAGCTCATCCGCCATGTGGCTAGCAAGCATTGGGGGCCTTCCTCCAGAATTCCTTATGGCCCCCAATAGGGGAGACTGGCCAAACTGCATTGGCAGCGTTCCCCGGCTTATGGAAGTGTGTTTGTTGCGGCCTGAAAGTTCGCCTTTTGAGAAGGACTCTTCCAGAAGATCCGAGAGGTGATGAAATTTGCGCTTCTTCTTGATTCTGCGCAGGAGGACATATATATATATATATATTTACTTTCTTGCTTCGTTTGAGTCAACTGACGAATCCCTGATTGACTGCCTTGGCTAGATGGAAACTGAGCGCCCAGATGGAAGCTCCCTGAAACAGCAGGTGGGGCGCTGGAGATCAAGCCGCTGAGCGCAACAGTGGGGCACTGCGGCATCGCCTCGGTGAAGAATAAGATCATGATGGCCCTGGAGGCGTGTGTGAATCTGTGAATCTGTGAAGGCGGTGACAGCGCGGTGAACCAATCTTTGTTCCTCGATCCCTTGCCCCATCTCCAGAACTTGTGGCTAAATGACGGGGCTATCGTGTGGGCATTCCACGGACTGACCGTACTGCGAAGGAATCAATCTCTCTTGTTATTGGCTTTGCAGCCGCTTTGTAGGGCTGCCGGAAGGAATGCAGAGGCATCATGGCGTGGCTTGCTTTGTGTAAAATTAAGTGTGGTGCGTTGGAGGGATACTCTTTGCCCGCCATATATGTTTGAGCGAGGTTGATCAGGAGAAATCATAACTCAAGGGCTGACGTCATTGCCTGTTTACACCGCAAACTTGGCAGAGTCTTTGGTCTTCTTCGGTACTGTAAATTGTGCTTGCCCCTGGTGATGAGTGATTTGTGCCACCTTTTTGCATCCTTCTTGTTGGACGATCCGCACCATTGGACGTATCGCAAGCCACGGAAGGAAATTTGTCATCAGGAGCCCACAGCAGCTAAAGCATGTGGCTGTACTTCAACTTCCTCCTGTTGGTCGCCTCCAAGAATGCCAATATCCACGAAGCATTGTGCGGTTCCAAACCCTTTATTGTCTTGTCCCTTCCTCCTCCTCCTCCTCCTCCTCCTCCTCCTCCTCCTCCCAAAAACGTTCCGTCTCCCTGAGGGGCTGGACCACGCTTTCTGTGATTAGCCATGTCATAAACCATCACCAGGGATGTCGCGATAGTGACTGACCGGTGGTGTTTGGCTCAAGTTTTCACGGGTTCCGTCGCGCCTCGGATGGGCGTCGCCGAACCCCTGCGTCGACCGACGACGTCTCGGGGGAGAAAGAGACCTCGGGCTGCCGTCAGGTTGGTAGGGACCATTCGTGCGGCCTGTCGTCGATCAAGGTTGCGGGTTAACTCTTTTCCCTTTTGGTTGTTGTTCTCTGGTGTGTGGGAAACCCTGATCTTTGGGACCGGGGATTGGTTTGCTTTTGGGGAACCTTTCTTTTGTGGCTTGTTTACCCCAACTTACCCATTGCCTGGGCACAGGCTCGTGCCCGAATCACAGGTTATCAGCCGTAGGACTTTCCTACGCGCTTGAGACCATCAACTACAAGCTCTATGTCGACCCCACGATCACACAGGAGTGTCGTGGATGAGGAGGCCATCCTAGGGGGCCTCCGCTCAGGTGAGGACCTACCGGACTTCGATTATGAGGATTTCGAAGCAGGTTCGGCAGGTCAGGACCGCAGAAAAAAGATCCCGGTAGGGACACACCCAGGAGCCGTGGCAGGTATATCGATGATGGAGACGATCGCATTTTCCGTCAGGCCACTGATGATGAGCAGACACGAAGGGTTCGCTCCGATAGGAGCGGCTCTGAATCAGGTCACAGGCGCGGACAGTTCGACTTCATCAGCATGGCGATGAACATGGCCCGCCCTCATTCGCACGACCCGGAGGCCATGCCGACCCGACCCCCGAGACCTCTTGTTCCAGGTGAATCGCAGGTCTCGGATGAGTTTGAGGACAGGCCGCAAGGACCAGGGACTATGGTTTTGGCTCCGAGAGATATCTCGGGTCGATCCACTGGTTCTCAAAATCCAGGTCAGTTTGTGGAGCACGAGGAGCGGAAGTTCACAGGTTTCGGATACGATGCTCTGTTGAAATCGACCGCAGGCTGGGGCAGTAGCTGAAAGCAGGGATCTGATGCCGATAGGCCCAACCCCAATACTGCCAAGTCTGAATTTTATGATGGTGAAGATTACAATTTTGCGGATGAGGAGGAGGACCGTTCGCGCCGAGATGCGGGGAACCGTGCTGCTGCAAGGCCTAGCCCTGCCACTGCCAAGTTTGAGTTCGATGATGATGATGAATATGCCGCATTTGCGGATCGTCGTGATGAGGAAGAGAACCAATCACGCCGAAATGCTAGGATCCGTGCTGCTGCGAGGCCCAGGAGCCTCTCTCGTGGAGACGCTAGGGACCTTCGAGTTGACAGGGACGCCCGAAGCGAGAGAGAGAGAGCCAGGGATAGCCGGGAAGTTCTTCGAGGATTGGAGGCCATCCATCACAAGGAGGGGCCGGTAGGTCCCCCAGTGATCGGTGATGCCCCAAATGTTCCCCCCTTTCCCAACATTACATTTGGAGGTTCGTTGAATCAGAGAGACGAGAACTCGAACCGGGTTACTGGTTCACCGAGAATCACTGAGCGGGCTGCCGATGCCGTTGGGGCAGGTGTGAAAGATGGTCGGCTAGCCGATGCGCTCGGAATCGAGGATCGTCCGTCGATCGCTAGCCCGTTAGGGCGAGATCCCAGTGACCTAGAAACACTAAGGTCTAGCAACGAGTTCACCCCTCAATGGGGATCGACCGCCAGGGAACGTAGTGCTTCTGCGAAGAGGCCGTCACCCCTGGCCATTGAGACCGATAGGTCAAAGGCGAGGAGGGCTAGCCCCTCACCAATGGGTTCAACTCCGCAGGATGAGGAGATGCCTGATCCTGCTGATGTTCACATTCACTCTACTCCCGAGTCTCGTGCATCCAACATTGATCCCCGATCTGGCGATAGCCGGAGAAGGGGATCTACCCCTAGCAGGCCGTCCAGGATAGGTGATAGTCCTGTAGGCGAACCCAGAAGACTTGCTAAAGCTAGTGGGGCTCCTGAGAGGATCGAGATATCGACTCCTCCAGCACGCAGGTCCCGTTCTTCCGGTGAGTCAGGTGACGCCAGGGCAAAGGAGGTGTTTGATTTGCACATCCAGGAGATGCTCGAGAGGGGTGAGGTGTCTAGTTCAGTCGCGAAAGCGTTCCATATCTTTGCTGACCAAATCAGGTTACTGAACGGTCAGGTGGGTTCCATGCGAAAGGAGTGGAGCGACGAGAATCAGCAGACGAAGGACAGGGTCAATCGTTTGGCGACTGAGGTTGCGACTCAATCTGATGCCGGTAGGATGCGAATGATAGTTCAAAGGTTTGCCAGCGAAGTTATTCCTGACAGCAAGGCCATTGTGAGGCAAGCCATCGATGAACAGGCTGAAGTCGTGGATCAGAGGATCAATCTGCTTTCCCACGAGGTTCATGAGTCTGTTAAGGACAGTGAAATCGCAACAGATCAGCTTCGTCAGATGATTCAAGAGAATCGTGAGGCCACCCGCAGGAGTCATGCTGCTTCCGAGGATGAGATCCTTAAGGACTTGGACAAGCTTGAGGGGCGGATGTTCTCGGTAGAGAAAACCGTTGGGATGCGGACGCCAGCAGGTGAATGGAATTTGAATCCTGCTGCGCAACCGCCCGATAGGGCTACCAGCAGTGGGGCAAACGCGAGTTTCAGGGAGTTAAACCTGAAGCTCGAGAAGGTTCTTCTTGAACACGAGAAGTTTGCTAAGTGGGCCTCCGAATCTATTGGTGGTATTAATGAAGAACAAATCATTCTTGCTGATCGAATGTCGAGGCTGCAAAGTGGGAGGGGGTCCCAGGCGGTCGATAGACCATCAGGGCCTGATTCCCCGCAGGACTGGCATGAGGCAATTGACGAGGTCAATCGGAAGGTCCAGGACCTATCTCGCGGAGTTCAACGCCAACATCGGGATCACGACGATGTCATCGCGAGATTTGAGACCGTGAAGTCCCATGTTGAGCAGTATGAAGCGAGATCGGGAATTCTGAACCGGGTCCTTGATGACATCAGAAGGCAGATCCGCAATCTCCCTGCGAATAGTGATCAAGCGCGGTCTGCCGTTAGGCGTGAGCTCGATTCATTTCGGAACACGCTTGATGGCGCAATGCGGAGAATCAACACTGTCGAGAGTAACATGCGTACTCTTAATGGAATGAACAACAGAATCATGGCTCAGCTCTCTGAGATTGAAGGTCATGTTGATGAGGCCGCTGGCATCATTCAGGGTGTCCAGGATAATCAGATGAATCCTCAAGTACCCAGAGAAAGACGGAATGTTGGATACCATGCTTTTGCGGGGCAGGGACATAGAATCAGGTCTCCGACGCCCACTCCTGGGGAAGGTAACGGTCGGGGTACTGGCCTTCCGGTGAGACCGGGCGGGGGTGTTGATTTGACTGATCATGTTCTGCCAAATGTGCCCGGTAGGGTCGATCCTTCTCGTGCAGACAGGCATCCCATTCATCCCGATAGGGAGAGGGCTGACAGCAGAAGCAGAAGAGCTCGGGGACTGCCTGACAGGTCGCATTCCCCGCCAGGGCGAGTGAGGGCGCATTCACCGCCGGAGCGTGCGAGGGATGGCCCCCGCGCGCGCGCAAGGGGGGACATTTCTGTTTCCCCCAACAGGGATGTGGGTAGAAATAGGAGCCCGAGGCCTGCTGCCGTCCCCGATAGGGGATCTGAGGTCCGGAGTCGGCAATCGAGGGGGGAAAGGCCAATCCGCGATAGCGGGAGCATTTCTCCGAACCTGGAAAGGCCGCTCCGCGATAGCGGGAGCGTCTCTCCGAACCCAGACCGTCATCCAGGAGGTGGTAGGGGTACTAGGGCCCATGCCGACATCCAGAGTCCCGGCGATAGCTGGAGAACTCCTAGAAGCAGAGCTCGTGCTGATATCCAGAGTCCCGGCGATAGCTGGAGGACCCCTGGAACTCCATCCGATCGTGGACGGGCCTCGGCACCGGCCGCAAGAGGAGCGCCTGGTACCGGTGGCCCAGGTGCGCCAAAGATCTGTGCCCTCGATGATCCGAGTGACCGCAGGCACCCGGACGCTGAATTCTCGTGTGTTACGTGCAATCGTGAGTTTTGCAGGCTTTGCCGGGGCGACGATGGGGATTGTTGCAATTGTCACTTCTTGAAGATGAAATGTTGGGCATGTCGTAAAAGTGCCCAGGAGGTCTCCATGTATTCCTGCACGGAGTGTGGGAACCACGTCTGTGAGGATCACAGTCATTTTGGCAGTGACGGCCTCGAGCGATGTGCGCGCTGCAATATTCGGCGTGAACGCGCTGAAGCTGGACCGCCCCCTCCTCCTCCTCCTGGG